CCGGGCGACAATGCCCGACAGCTCGCGCGCATCGTTGCTGCAGCCGTCCTGGCCGGCGAACTGTCGCTGTGCAGCGCCCTCGCCGCCGGCCACCTTGTCCAGGCCCACATGAGCCACAACCGCAGCCAGGCGCCTTCGCGCGCCACGACGCCCGCGCCCACTGGTACGCAGACCCCGACAACGCTGGCTATGACGAGCATCCAGGAGGCGTCGAAGAGGCGTTGATGCCTGGAAAATGACTTGCCGCGCGAGGTTCTCTTGGAACTTGCCGTGTCCTTACCTGCCGCTGTCTCTCCTCACGCTATCCGATCCGTCTTATTGGCAATTACTCTGCACCATTACATCAGTCCCATTTCATTTCTTCTCTTTCATCTTCTTCGCTTCTTCATTCGGTGGTTGCTTGGACTGGTGCGGTGCATATAGAAAGGGTGGTTTGGAGTCTATTCCTGTTTCGTGCTGCATAGATGGGATGGAGTGAGGTGCCGGGTCAAGATGGATGGTTTTGACGACTCTGCTCTCGGTGGGCTAGAGTCGAGAGAGGGGATGGCGGCTGAAAGGAATCAGCATTGATCGTGTTGCATCCGAGGGTCTTTCCAAGTGTTTGTCCGTTTTCAAGTACTTTAGCATGCATGCATAGGATTGGTTACCCAGGTCTCTGTATGTACAAGTAGCGAATTGTGTAATATATGCATATCCTACCTGAATGGCTACCTATGTAGAAGGCTGCTGGATATATGACCCCTAGCCCGCCCCTCTCCTTGAAGAATCCTAGGCTCCTCTATAGCGCCGGGGTGGAAAGTAAATCGTTCAATGCGCGTCTTGTAGTTGAGCCATCCGAGTGATGGCGATTGCTCGTGTGACGTTTCCATGGCACAGCGGCGCGATGGATTGCCGTTTTGGGTCGCGGCGGTACGGATTTCCGCCATTTCCGCTCCGCTATGACGTCGCAGAGCGGAAACGCGGTACGCGCTCGACTGCATTTCAAATCCAAATTCCTAACACCGACATCTCCTTCATCTTGCCGCACCTTTTCTCCTCTGGCAATTGGCGTTGGTGTGCCATTGAGACTCGGGTGAGTGAGGAAATCAAGTAAATCGTCAATTGACCCCTTATAACCGCTACAGAGATACTTGCTAACATGCTCTTAGACTACCGCTACCTTGCTCTCCAATTCCTGTCAAACGACATACATAGTCACCCAAAAACACCACCATGGCATCCTCCACGCCCCAAATCCGCGCCTGGACCTACACGACGGGCGGCTACCCGGCCTCCCTCGAGCTCACCTCCATCCCGGCACCCTCCCTCCCCCCTCCTCCCTCCAACAACAAGGGCTCTCACCTCCTCATCCGCACCACGGCCGCCGCTCTCAATCCTGTCGACATCCAGCTCATGAACCTCCCCCTCTTCACGCCCTCGGTCCTACCCTTCCCTTTCTCCCTGCTTTTCAACTACCTCCCGCCCCTCCGCGCCCTCGCAGACCGCCGCAAAGGCGTCGGTGCTGACTTTGCTGGCGAAGTCATCGCCGCTCATGAGGGCTCTGGATTCAACGTCGGCGACCGCGTCTTTGGCCTCGCCTTCACGCCCGCCAGCGAGCGCGGCACCCTCAGCGAAGCCCTCCTCCTCGACACAAACACCGATGTCGTGGCGCGCGTGCCCCCCGGCTGGACCGACGAGAAGGCCGCCAGCCTGCCGCTCGTCGCCCTTACGGCGCGCACTTGTGTCGAGCGCTGCGTGCCCTTCGTCGACAACACCAACAACACCCTCGTCGTCCTCGGCGGCTCCTCCGCCACCGGCCTCTACACAACGCTCCTCGCCTCCTCACTTGGTTGGCGCGTCATCGCCACCTGCAGCGCGCGCAACGACGCCCTCGTGCGCACCATGGGGGCCGCCGAGACGCTCGACTACACCGCCCACCCCTCTCCAGACAGTCTCCGCACCGCCGTCGACGCCCACGCCCCGGCCGCCATCGTCGACTGCGTCGGCGGCACCGCGCTCCTCGGCCTCCCCGGCGTCCGCCGCTACATCACCATCGTCGGCGACAAAACCAGCCGCAGCGCCATGGGCGGCGCCGCGACCTACCTCTGGAACCCGCGAATGGCGCTGCGCGCGCTGGCGTCGGAGTGGATCCCGGCTGGGTGGCCAGGCGCGCGGAGTGAGAAGTATGCGTGCGTGAATTTGGAGACGCGCAGGGATTGGCTGGAGGACGCGGTCAAGGTGGTGGGGGAGGCGAACGATGAGAGGGTCGTTGTGGATAGCGTTTTTGGGTTTGAGGATGTGAAGGCGGCGTATGCGAGGTTGGATAGCGGCAGGTGTAGGGGCAAGGTTGTCGTTAGGGTTTCTGGGGCTGTTGCAACGACGACGTCGTCTCAGGAGTAGGAGTAGGAGTAGTGGGTCTGCATGCGCGATGCTGGGGAGCTGTCAAGGCATGCCCCTTGAACTTTGCGCTCAGGGAGCACTAGAAGCATCATCTACTAATGAAGCATGAATTAGAAATGTAACTTGATTGGTAGCCGCGCAGTAGACACAACCATGAAGCCAAGCCAAAAAGTACGAGGTCTACATGCAAAGACTGCGCGTGAGTACCCACTACCCAAACATAGACCAGGAGACCAACCTGCCGCGATGCTCCCGCGGTACTTGCAACTCTTGGCCGACGCTTCGTTGTGCGAGGTGTTATAAAATGCCTGCCTGCCTGATTTTGCGTTTACTGCTCTCACGCTCGCACTGCGGCCTCGAACCGAAGCTTCGACCTCTTAAGACTCGAGTCAACAGGCGGCGGCAGACAACCAACCACGCTCAAAAGCAACCCCTCTACTCCAGGCTCAGTCAGGGTGTCCCAAACGCTCTTGCCCATCACCCAGCGTCTTTGGTTTGATGGCTTAGTATGGCGGCTTTCCGGATCGAGCCGCATTGGGCCGGATTGCGATGCAAATGGAGATTTGATTTCACTTGCACAGACTTTGCGCTAGAGGCGACAGGAACAGAGGGGACTGAGAAAAATCCAACTGCCCATCTGGTCGGTGAGGAATTCAAAACAAACAGAGCGCGCGGTCCCTTCGTTGATGTTGATGGTGAATGAACCGGCTTAGCAGTGCTTTGGAATGGCTTCTACTAGGGAGCAGCACTTTCAGGAGACAGACACAAAGCCGTGTGCAAACTTGGTTGGGAATCGGAACTTAGGGGTCGGGCAACTTACTGAACCATGTGACTACGACGCGAGGTCAGTCACTTCTTCACTGCAGTCCGCTGATCCTCGCTGTCACTCAATGCCCAAGTCAACTTGCCTTTGACAAGCTGATGGCACCATGAAATGAAAGACATGTTTGTTCAGTTGCAAAAGTGCAAAAGATTTGATCTTGATTGACACTTGAGATCATGGCTTCTTTCTGGCGATTAAGATTCGATACTACCATCAACCAATTTCCTCCGAAACGGTCAACTCAATGACTTGAAGGTTATCAAGCATGTAGTCAAACTCGTCAATCGCCAACTCCAGACTCCGCTGATGGTTTTGGATCTGCTCGTCCCACAGCGACACGTTCAACGCAATCACGATGAACGCCCGCTGCCCAATGAAGGCGCCGCCCGGCACAAAAATCTCAAGCCCCGTGTCCGTCTTGAACTGCGTTGCCGGCGGCGCTTTCTCATCTCCCCTGGCGCGCACCTTTTGCTCCGGTCCATCTGGCGGCTCTCCAATGCCGGACCCCGCGTCTTCGGATTTGGGAATCTTGTCGTCGCCTGGCCCGACGACTTGGATGTCTTCGCTCCGGTCGCCTGCCTTCGTGTCGCAGTCGGTGCGCTCGAAGTACGCTTCGCAGTACCGCACGCCTCCTGGGTTGGAAAAGCTGACGGAGAACTCGCACGGTCCGCCGCCACAGTACGTCGACTTGTAGAATGCGTTGATGATGCTGCTCTGCTCTGTTCCAAGTCAACCAGACGCGCTCAATGGACCTCAGAATGGACGTACTCGTGTTCTGATCCCCTGGCACGCATCTACTCACGCGGTCCGGCCTGTCCGTCGTTGACACCGTGCTCGTGAATGGATACTGATCGCACTCCAGCGGCGGGTTGAGCTGTGCGCACCGATCCTGCTCTGGCGTGCCGCATCCCGCCGCTTGCGACCTTCTCCGCATTTCCGCGCTCTCGGGCTTGTCGTAGCGAAGTCGCTCGCCAATGTATTGACAGTATGCTCCTGAGTCCAGTCAGTGCCAGTTCCGCGGTGCTCGCAGGAAACCCACCATAACACATGTTTTTGCATATCTCCGGCGTCTCATTGCAGAGAAATATCATCAGGTCGTCGGGATTGTTGCCTCCTCCGCCCGGTGGGGTGCGCCGGTTCAGCGCATGCGATGTCGCGATGACTGCTCCGGCGCTCCCGAGGAGAGCTGCTGCGACTGACAGTCTCATGTTTGTTGAAGCAGAGCGGTCGTTCCGTGTCCGTCGATCCGACAAGAAAGCGCTGGATACAGAGTACTACAGATTCCACGTCGCGCCTGCGCTGAAGTGGACATGACATCCATATATTCCGTCATCCCGAGTCAAAGAACCGTTGGTACCCAAGATCTTCGATTGAAAATTAGACTTATTTTTTGAGTTGGGCCAATGGTTTTGTACGCGGAAGAGCGGTTGCGCGGTAAGTCTTTCAGGCTGAGTTGTTTGCGGAGTTGCAAAAGTCAAATCGTCGTACTTGTGGCTTGTGCAAAGTGTAAATTCATGCTGAGCCACCTCTCGTGAAGTCGTTGGGAGGTTTCGTGGATCTCTGGAGCGACCCAAAGTCTTAGCGGATGGTGAGATTCCAAATTTTGCGACGTCGAACAAAACCCTCCCACAACTCAAACACTTCGACATCAAACCATCGCGCAATGCGAAAAATCCTTCAAAAACAGTTCCCCAGAGAGCGGCGACATCAGTTTTAGCTCCAGGGAGACCAGGGATGTCCTAGTCTGCTGATTATGCAGTATGTAAAGTTTTGTGGCAGCGCCCCCTTCAACAACATCGGCCGCGTGGCCCAATGGCAAGGCGCTTGACTACGATCCAGTAGATCATCAAGAGATTCCAGGTTCGACCCCTGGCGTGGTCATACAACCCCTGATGGGGTTTCCTTTTTATTCTTTTGATCTTGTAGCTCCTGGCACGTGCTGGGTGGAGTTTCGGGAGTTTCGTCGGATTTTTTGGCGGAGTGCGCGACAAAGCTGTGAAAACGAAGGCGCGTTGCGTTTTCCTTGCTGTCACGCTCTTCTCTGACGTTCATTGCACCATCTCATCATTTTTTGAACAGCTTTTGAAAGTTGTGGTTGGTCAGGGGGGTGCTTTTGGTGGTGAGCGGGAGACGAGGACGGGGCGGAGCGGCGGACCTCCGGGCGGAGCGGAAGCGGAACTTTGAAACGGTGCGCCCGTCTGTCGAACGCGACGCCCATGGATCTATCGAACGAAAGTTTGACGCAGGCGATGCTGCTCGACAACGCAAGGACCTGCTTCTTGGATTGAAAGGCATGTCAGTAAGAAACCGCCATCCAGCACAACTTCTGACAAATCTGCAGTGCATCTCAACGAACCTGTCGCCCAATCGCACCCTTCAAACAGCGCATCGCGCATCGCGTCCGCTGCAGACAATCATGGGAGACGCCCACAACGTACGACCGACGCCAGTCTGACCTCGACTCGGATCATCGCACCCTTCGAAGCCAAATGCCAATTGCCCACCAGGATCAGCGTGCCCGCGCTGGACGGCTCTTCGATCCTTGAACGAACTGCGGGCTCTGACGACATGTACACAACCAGGAAGGCCGTGGTCAGCGGAAGGGTCTCATCTCTTCCGTGGGTCTACAAGGACAACAAGGCCGCTGAGGGCATTGGTAGCTCTGGTTCATCTGCCGGCTGCGCTCTGCATCTCGACAAACTCGTCTGCCCTTGGCTCTTCTCGCACCCACGCGCAGTAGCGCCACAAGCCCCACACGACGCAAAACACACAGGCGGTCGCAGGGTAACGGGCGGCGTGTTGAAAAACGGGGGGCGGCTTTTGGTGCTGCTGTAGACATGTGGTCGGGCATCGTGAAGCTTTCCTTCGCTGCTTGGACCTGCTTTGCTTTGGGATGAGCGACTTCTGTACGGGCGCGGCATCAAGCGGCACAGTGGGTGATGAAAGAAATTGTTAATCCGATGATCCCTATTACCAAGTTACAAGGCGTAGAGACATGGAGTATTGGAGCGCTTGAGACTTTGAACATAGAGAGAATTTCTCTCTCAATGGGTAGTTACAGGGAGCATTCAAGCGCTTACTTCTGTGTGTGCGACGACTTGAAGCTGAGCTCAAGTTGAATTTCTTTCGTCACCCACTGTGGCGGAGCCACAAAGCGGAACTGAACTTGTGGACGTGCATCTTGCTTCCAGCATTGCATGTCAAATTTTGGCAATCATCCATTCAATCTCTGTCTGCAACGGGCTCGCTGTCCACCATTTCCCCATCGCCGTCACTGTCTCATTTCAGTCCCTGACCGGTCGAGCTTCTCCTCCGTCGCCTCCATCAAAATCCACTGCTGGCCAGTATCCATGGCTCGCCGTCGTTTTGTTGTCGGTCGAAGTCTTTGGAATCTCATTTTCGTCAAGCTCGTACCTGGCGTCGGCTCTGTCAGTGTCAATCGCTCAAGAGAAGTCTTCCTCACGTACCTCGGTCTCAGTCACCGCAGCCGTCGTTGTACAACAGACTCTTCGCCTGCCATCGCCACTTGTTGCTTCGACCTCCGTCGACGTACTCACATGGCGAATCCCTCTCCCTCCGGATCAGCCACGGCATCTTTTGCAGCTTCGGAGGCGTCGACATTCTTGTCCTCCGGAACGCGCCAGAAGCAGACCTCGCAGCCATGCTTCTCAAAGTCGCAAATGACGCGGCTGAGCTCCTTCCACAGGTCCTGATTCTTGATGGGGTGGCCGTTCTTGGTGAGCCAGTCGCGTTTCCACCACCTCGGCAAGGACGTCGTGGCGTGGTCGGCCACGTACTTGCAGCTGGTGATGAGCACGACCCGCTTCCAGCCCTCGCTGTGCCAGTCCTTGTAGTGGAGGGCCGCCAGTGCAGCTCGAAGCTCTGCGCGCGTCTCGGTCCTCTTGTGTGTCTTTCCGTCGGGGCCCTCGCGCTCAAGCGCAAGAGACTTGGTGCCGGCTTGGCCAGGCTTGAAGATGAATGCGCATCCGCCCTTCTCACGACGCACGTAGACCTTGGCGACGTTGCCTGGCCTGGTCATGTCACCGACGGGGCGCGCAATCTTTCCAACTTGCTGGAAGTTGCTGCATTCGGCCTCGCCGCTGATGTAGATGGCGATTGTCTTTGCTGGACCGAGAGCGGGCACGTGGCGATCGCGCAAAGTGAAGCGCTCCACTGAACCATTGGGTAGATCGACATTGCGGGCCTCGAATACCCTTTCCGGGACAAGCGACGATGGCGTGGCAACAAACTCCGTGGCAATGCAAGTCTTGAGAGTCTCGTTCAGGCTCGCGCTTTCCAGCAAACGCGGCAGTCCATTGTCCGGGTGCAGAGACGTCGACGCGTCAAGAGCTTGGGAAGTGTCATCTTCATCGGAGCTACTGGAAGTGTCGTTATCGTGCTCCTCGTTGTCGTGATCTTCGTTGTCGAGGTTGAGGTTGGAGAGGTTGGAGATGACCGACCAAAGCGGCGAAGACTGAACGCCGGTGTCCTCGCCAGCAGGCGTCGTGGGCTCCGTAGAAGACATGAGGAATCAGCTGGGGCTGGAATGGGAGATTGCTGATTGAAGAAAGAAGCCAGTGTAGGCAGAGAGGTGTTGTTGAGGAAGAGGAATGGGATTGCGTCTGGAAAAGATGAAAGTGAATCCTGCTTAGTCGCCCGCACGCCGCGCAAACTTGAACGGTTTTTGCGCGATACCGCCCGCTTTCCCGGACGGCACAAGTAAGAGCAAACGTGTCAGGCATGGAAAGAGAGAATGGAATTTCGACGACAACCCAGCATCAACTACGACAACCTCAGAGTTTGCTCAGCACACCATTCGATGCCAACAGAGAAAGATGTCCCTTGTTAATTTCCTTTACAGATCTGCACCTGTTGAATGTCAGCTCAACTTCGCGCTCTTCCACTGTCGCTGCACTCACCCAGCTAGAGCCATGATGTTTTTGAACTCATTCATCAAAATCTTGATTCCCAGCTCCACGCCCTGCTGTCCATTGTACTGGAAAGAGTCAGCAATTGCGCAGGAGATGAAGTTCAGCACGCACCGCAAGACCCCAGATTGGAATCCTCCCCACGAAACAAAAGTCGGCTCCCAGCGCAATCGCTTTGAAAATGTCGGATCCTCTCCGGATGCCTCCGTCAAACGCTATTGGGATTTTGCCTTTTGCCACGGCGGCACATTCCCTCAGCGAGTCAAGAGATGCTGGAACGCCGTCAAGCTGCCGTCCACCGTGGTTGGAAACCACAACACCGTCAAGGCCGTGTCGGATTGCAAGTATCACATCATCGGCCGTTCCAACTTCCAGGAGATTAGTCTTGCCTCTCAAAGTGGAATGTAGCACTCACCGCCTTTGAGCCATAGCGGCAGCTTTGTCTGAGATCTCAACCATGGAATCGCCGTGTTCCAGTCCGCCGTGGGATCTGCAGGTCAGTCTTGAAAAACAGGTCGAAGTGGCAGTGATTCTTACCATAGTCAGACTCATGACACCGCGCCTCCAAGTCTGTCCCTATCAGAGGAAGATTCTCGTGGTCCAAACCCTCTGGCAACTGGAAGCAGTTTCTATGCTCGTTTAACCGCAGGCCCAGAACGGGGCAATCGACCGACACGAAGATTGCTTTGAAGCCAGCCTCTGCATTCAATCAGTCAGTCTTGCTGACAATCGGAGGTCAAAGATGTACGGACTTTCTGCTCGCTGGAGAAGCTGCACATTCAGCTGCCTGTTCCTCATCAAACCCATGTGCATGACGAGCGGATTCCCGTTGCTTTGAGCCGCAACCTCTTCCAAACTCGTGGTTGCGTACATCGACAGCCCCATGGGGATCCCGGTGCTGGCTGCCGCACGCGAAGTTGCAGCCTCTCCTTCGGGATGTGCGAGCTTGTGGTATGCGGTCGGACTCAGGCCCATCGGAAACGGCACCTTGCCACAGTCAGTTCCACCTCTGCGGACTTTGCTCGATCAACATACCGTAGTTCCAAATATTTCAGCGCTCGTGTCCGCCTTGTCCACATTCACCAGAACTCGAGGACGAATCTTGTAGCGATTAAAGGCTTCTTCATTATCCCGCAGGCTTGCATCTCGTCAGCTGTTGCCCGCTTGGATTGACTCCTGATCTCCTACGTAATGAGATCCATCGCTCCCTCATTGAAGTATTCTTTGGCACGCGCGTCAGTCGCTGTCTTTACAATTGGAAAAGGCCATACCTTGAGCATATCTTGGCAGCTTCTTGTTGCCCTGCTCCTTCAAATCGGCAATGGTAAAGACAGAAGCGTCAATGGATGCAGGACGATTCGCCATGTTGAAGATTTTGTCAAGGGGACTTGGAAACAACACTCGCAACTTGGTCGCAGCTGGATTGTCTACCAAATGGGTATAAATGCAAGATGCATTATCCCACTCTTGATAGGCTGTCCGCTTATCGACTCGCCTACATTTGACGTCGCGATCCCTGGCACAAGTCATCCGCAGGGCGCATTCACGCGTCAAAGGGCGCGCGCGCTCGGCGACATGGCGACAACGTCACCAACACGACCCAAGCATCGATGCACGAAATTTCCCGAAATGGACATGGCTAGCTGTGCCGAACTATAACTCCGTCTATCATGATCCTTGACCTACGGCTTTCATTTTCTCTGGTCCAATTCACGCCACCTTTCCGTCATCGACTTTACTGCATCTTCTCTTCGAGGTAAAATGTTCCAGCTGTTCGCCATTTCTGGAAGGAAATGAGAGATCGGCGTCGACGCCTTGAAGGCAACGGAGGCCGCGAACGAATGCTCCTGCGACTCGAGCAATTGACCCCGCATCCAATTTCCGCCTCGCTTGTAGATTCCGCGTGTCGATTCGAGAGTGTCGTTGCAACGTTTCCACCACGTTCATGTCGCA